TTTTTTTTTTTTGGTACCGGAGATAGAACTCAGGCCCTTGTGCTTGCAAGGCAGGTGCTGGAACCACTGAGCTATGTCCCGGGCCCCTGTATATACATTTTTAAATATCAAAAATTAGAAAAATTATTTCAAAGTAACTGAAATAACATAATTTAGAGGAAGAAGATTAATAGCTACAAAAACAGCTTCAGTCTTCCATTAAGGGCTATTGAGTTGCCAGATCTCATATTTGTCTCATATTTGAGTTGCCAGATCTCATATTAACTAATTAAGTTAAACTATACACTTAAATATACCTGCTTAAAAAAAAAGATTCCAACTGAGAAAGCATCTACTACTTCATTTAAAAAAAAAGTCAGCTCAAATGATTCTAATGTTGTAAGAAACAAAACCTATGGATTAGGCTCAGTTTCAGTCCTATTCATCCCTAAAAGAGTTTACCAAAGGGCTAAAAGTCATCTCATTATAAGAATTTTCTGACAGAGGTAAAGAAAACCAATGACATTATTAGCATAAACACATGTTTTGAACATTCCCCCAAGCATTTAAAAGTAGATAACACATTATCACCTGGATTCATAAATCTTTTGCATACATACACTGTACAAAGAAGCCTTAAGATCTTGCTCTTGTAGTTAGGAAGATCAGCTTCCAAAACACCAGCCAAACCTTCTAGATTGCTCTCCAAAGAGCAGGCACTCTGTAGAGGAGATCATATTAAAAGTCTGTCAAGTACTCCACAATGAGTGAAATAAAATAAAAATTTCCAGATGACTATAAAAAGTTAAGGTTTTTAATATGCAAAACTCTGTAAAAGGTTTAATATATATCAATTCAGGTAGTTATGTCACTTAGAAATTCATGAAAGCAGAATGAATGGAATTTTAAAAATAAGCAGTCTAAGTAAAAGGTACTAAGAGATGGGAAGCTACTGCGCAGTTTATTCCATTTTTCATACTACTTTCTTGTGTGACTGAAAATTACCTCAAATATTCAGGTCTGGTTTAGGTCATTTAAAAGGGAGATCATGTGTGAATATCACTGGTTAGTAAAATCTCTATCTGCATCCCAAGGGTTTCAAAACACATTCACTTTGGGAAACAGATGGTAATATAGGTTTTGTCTAAAACTTAGAGCATGTAGTTTTCAGGTGCAGAACATAAAGCACAATGACAGACTGCAGTCTGTCATGCAGCATACCTTTTCTCCTACTTTGCATATTAAAGATTCCAAGTGATCTTCAGTTTCGCTGGCATCAGAAGTCTTTCTCCTTTTGTGAGGCTGTCCACCTATTTTGTAATATGAAAAAACAACACTACATGATGAATCTGCTATCAATTTCTATTTCACTCTTTTAGGCTTTAATCTCTTTTCTACCAGGTTCTACTTTTTGCACAAAATAGCTCTTAAATGATACTCCATTTCTGATCAGGAGAGATTAACTAGTAGTTTCCATTCTCAGGGTCACTATAAACATTAATTCTAGGAGGTATTATTTATGTTCAATTCTGTGTGAACAGTGCCCGTAGAGCTATGCAATGCAGCAGCCCTGTCTATCTCACTAGGCAAGCTGGAATGGCACCAATAACACGCTAAACACCAGTAGTTAGAAACTCGTACTCCTACTCCTATTGTTTTAACCTCAGTTGATTATCAATCCTCAAGTGCTTGCTACTAAACCTGTTAGTGTCAGTCCTATTTGTTAGTCTAATGATGTAACTTATTTATTATGTAAATTGATGAAATGAGAATGCAAAACCAAGTCAAGCAGTAGCAGAAAGAGAGAGGACTCCCCCCTGCAGGGGCACTGGAGGAGGACACCAGATAAGGAGGGAGGGAGAGGGGAGAGAGAGAGAGAAAGCAAGCAGTTGTATACACAAATGGTGGGAAAAAATATATATCCTTTATGACTTCCTGCTTTAACTGACTCTTCCAGATCCATTAAAAAACTATTATTCAAATAATTTTATTATATTAAAAGCAAAAAATTTCTCCAAAACAAACTACTATTCTGAAATTATTATCAGTTATCTTTCCTTTTAACTGCTAAAGAATTCAAGTTGACTGAAGTGTACCACAGAACAACCTCAAGCACTGTACTATACTCTTCAGATGCCCCCCTTGCCATTGATTTATCATTTTGTTTAAAATCTTAATAGACCTATCTTAGGTCCTTCTGTGGAATAACACAGACTTAAAAATTAAAATAACAGTGTTAAGTACAGAACATGGTATTATTGCTAGTCTTTTAATATAATTTTTGACTTCCAGAAATTAAATTAGGACAGCATATGGACAAGGAAGCAAAAGTCTGTAACTGTGCTGGTCATATGTCTTAATGAAAATCTGCAGTTGGATATAGGGTTACACAATAGCAAGATATATATAACTCTTTTTATCTCTTTTATTCTCCAGACCCAAACAGCTAGGAAATGAGCTATTTTTGCCAAGATCATAATCATTTACCTGCCTCTGGAACATCTGGCTTTAAATGTATGGTGCTTCTCATACTACACAGGACATAGCTCTTCTAAGTTTAGGATATTAAGTCTTTCTACTGATTGAAATGATCTTTAGATACCACATGAAACTAAGGTGAATAAAATCAATATACTGCTATTCAGATAGGACTAGAGGGAGGTATTATAAAAGGGTATTGCTGGGCTTTGACTTGCCAGTCCCTTAACCATCATAATCTGGCTTAAATAGGCACTGATGGTAATTCTGAAGAGATGATGCCATAAAAAGTATAACATATACAGCAGCTCAGCTGAGATACATTCCTAGAGCTATGTGTCTCTGTAAAGTTGTGGGCATGTGTGACATTGAGGGACCAGTAACCCTGATTAAGTATACATCACACCTGCTCACACCATTTACTAAAGTTCCACTACCCAAACACACAACAAATATTTTCCCCCCCACCCTCCAACTCATTCACTGAGAAGAAAGGGAGGGAAGGAATAATGGATGTAATGTTTATATGAACTGTCAGCCAAGACATCAAAACAGCTTTCTTCTAGAGCAGTGGTTCTCAACTGGGTATGGAGCTAGCAATCTCTGCAGATGTTTTCATTTTTTACAACTGGGGGAATGCAATTGGCATTTAGTGGCTAGACAGCACAGCCCATCCCAGTAACAATAGTCCAGCCCCAAATGTCAATAGTGCTGAGGCTGAGCAACCTGGCTCCACAAAGTAGAATAACATTAATAGTATTCTTCAGAACTAGGCTGTGGTGAAGTTGGGATAAAGGAGATGATGACAAATTAGCTGAATGAGAGCAGCTGGTTTTTTGGTTGTTTTGTGTTAAACCTTAACCGTTCTTCCCTTCTTTTTGGTCTATCTAATTCACTAACATTTTATCCCACCTTCACAGCTTTCCTAATGACCTTCCAATTGGTTTGTTTTAGTTTGGAATCATAAAACAGTGCTCCCAGGCCTTTTTAAAACAAGCTTGACAAAGTGGCAATGCTGATGGAAGAGAAGGTAGGATTTCTGAGGAAAAAAGTGAGAACATATGTGTACATAGCAATATCTCTGAACTGCAAAACCTCTTCTCATTTTAATTACAGTGAAAGACAAGATTTGTTTGAGAATAAGAGGAAGCAGAAAGTACTACGAAATAAAGAGGATTTGACAAAGTATGGGGTGGGCTGGGATACAGATATAATCTAAATTCATGGACAGTAATAAGACATTGAATTCAGAAGAAAATCTAGGTGAAGCAGAATAAAACACCTTATGAAGAATAATATTTGGACAATTTGAGTATTTCCATGTACCATCAAGAAAATATGTCTATGGTAGCTCCAAAAGGAAGAACAAGTTTTATAATACAGTGATAAATTCATACCTATGTTTATAGCAGCACAATTCATAATAGCTAAAGCCTGGAAGCTGCCTATATATCTACCAACAGACAAATTGATAAAGAAAATGTGGTATTTACACACAATGGAGTACCACTCTGCCAAAAAGAAGGATAAACTTGAGTCACTTGTAGGAAAACTGATGCACCTTGAGATCATAATGTTAAGTGAAATAAATAAGACATACAAGCTTAAATATCACATGGTTTCTCTAATATGAGAAATCCAAAGTAAAAATAAAAGGTAATAGGACATAGGGAGATAGATCTTTCTCAAAGGGGAAGGGAATCAAGAGACGGAAGCAGGGAGAGAGGGGAGCATTAGAGAATGAAAAAAGGAATTGGGATGTATTACGTATCAATTTCAAACAAGAAATGTAAACATTATGTACTAATAAAGTAAAAATTTTTAAAAATGTAACGATGTGAAAATTTTACAATGTAAGTTAAAGTTACATATTGCTATTTCACTGTGAAAATTTGGCTAGCTGGCTAGTGAAGAATAGACAAAGACATCTTTCTTAGAACTTGCTTTGTTGGAGGCTGAGGCAGGAGGATTAATGAGTTTGAGGCCAGCCTGGGTCACATAGTAAGTTCAAAACCAGTCTGAACTCCATAGTGAGATCCTGTCTCAAAACAAAAACAACAAAACAACAACAAAAAAAACCTTGCTTTGTTAAAACTATCCAAAAGGGTCTTAATATACCAAATAAAATTTTCCTCTGTAAGGTGATTCTAATTTTATATGGATACACTGTACTATTTCTTACAACCTTATTCATATTATATGTCCTATAACATTTTTTGGGCCCACAAAGTAGAAAACAAAAACCAAACCTTTAAAAGAAAAATGAATGACTTTACTTCTGTTCATTTATTTTTTCCAGTTAAGTAAAAAGACAGTTACAGTCTAAGAGAAAAAGACCTAACCTAACTCTAGCTTACACAGGTTTTCAGCTAAGATTTTGAAGAATCTAAATCCCTACTTCACTCACACCCAAAAAATGTATTTAACATTTATACATATCCTATGGTAACAGAAAAGCTTTAGAGACATTTTTGAGTCTAAGAAATTCGTTATATTTAGCACTAGAGTACTATGCATACACATAATTTTCCATGTAGGACTTCCCTTTCCTAGCCTGTAAGTTGACTTCTACACAAACTTCATTTGTATACTCCTAGCCTCACCTCCAGAATCTTGGACAGTCTGCTTTCAGCATAGACAAATCTTAAAATTTTGCCCAGTAAAATCTGATTCTCTATTATCTTGTCTTCCAACAATTTCTGCCCTATTCTGTTTCTGCATACTGGCCTTCTCACTATTCGATGAACATGACAAGAATGGTCCAGCTACCAGGCATGGTGGCCCGTGCCTGTAATTCTCCACTGCTAGGGCAGATGAGACAGAAAGATAAAAATTCAAGTCCAATCTGGACACTTCAATGATCGCCTGTCTCTAAATAATTTTTTTTAATTGCTGGAGAGGTAGTACAATCCCCAGTACTACAAAAATAACAAAACAATGCTCAAGCCTTAAGACCTCTATACTCATAGTTCCTTTTTTTTGGACTACTTTCCCCATACAACCATGTGGCTGGCTCCTTTATGTCCTCCTGCAGGTCTCTGATCAGATGCCATCCTCAGTGGGACTTTCCCTGACCAGTAATTTTGTTAAAAATTACAGAAGTTTCTATATCCTTTACCAGACTTTTTCTTCATAGTGCTTGGGGAGTGTGTGTGTGTAAGTGTGAGTGCAGAGTGTCCACTTTTATATTACCAACTGCTGTACTGCAAGTAGTTAGAAGACTGTTTGGCAAGTCCTGATTAGAGTTATCCGCTGTATTTAAGGAGGACTGGTTCCCAGACACTATCCTCCTCATCTTCAACAGATACTCAAATCTGAGGATGCTCAAGTCCCTTATGTAAAATGGCATACATAATATTTGTATGTACTCTACATATATATAGCTGTTATGGCTTATATCTAGATGTCCCCCCAAATTTTCATACACTCATTGGTGGGTCTTTTCAGAGGTGGTGGGATCTAAGGCATATGATGCTGGGATCAAAGTGGTGTGATGCTGGGATAAAATTATTCCACTGATTGGTTAAGCGTAGTTCTGGGTGTGGATAATGGGAAGACCCATCTTTGGTGTAGGTGACATCATTCAAAAGGCGGGTAAACCTGAAGGGACAAAAGGGAGAAGCTTCTGCCTCACTGCTTACTGATGCTTCAGCCGCTTCTTGCTGCTTTGCTGTATCCTGCCTCCCCACCATGAACTATTGCTCTTCTGTAATGCCCCTCTGCCATGCCATCCTACCTTGAAGCCATTAAAGTATAAGCTGAACCTCTGACAAACTGTGAGGGCCAGTAAACTTTTCTTTCTTTAACTTTTGAGTGTTGAGTATTTTGTCTCAGCAAGTAGAAAAAAACTAAGACAATGTCTAAAATAAATCATCTCTAGATTACTTATAATACTGACCTAATACAATGTGAATAGAATGCAAACAGTTGTTATACTACATTGTTTAGGGAATAATGACAAGAAAAAAAGGTGGGTTCAGTACTGATACAATTTTCCTGTTAAACATTTTTCAAACAGTTGACAGAATCTTGGGATATAAAATCAGTAGATACAGAAGGACAACTGTGTACAGACAAATATAGTGAAAGTCAGGGCAGTCAGTGACTGTTAAGAGCTGTAATGTTAAGAGGCCAGACACATCTATCTAATTCTCACTGAAATAATTTCTAGTCTACTTTAAAATAGTCTGCTAAAATATTTAAGCTTCCAATATTTCTTAAAAATTTTATAGATGCTTAAAAAGGAAAGCAACCAAAATATCTGATTCAAATCGGTTTAGGGTAAACTGTAGTTGTTCATTACCTATCGTAGCAATTTACAAAAGTTCCAGATTTGGTGTATTTTCAAAGAGGAACTATAAATTGGCTCGCCACAACTAAATAATTAACCATAAACTATGCTTAATGAATGCCTTATATTTTACATTTCTGTCTTATTTACTCGGGTGTTCCTATAAAGTGTTTTAGCTGCCATCTAGGAGTAAGTTATTCAACCTAATAACCAACACAAAAGTTGTTTTTCAACATATTCACATTCCAGGTCTCAAGTTGCACTCAGGTGACATCCCTTTAGGGATGCCCAAGAAGTGAGATGGAGAATGGACAGAGTAAAGAAAATGGGAAGAAAAAAAAAAACTGAAATTCTTTAAAACCTAAGAAATAACTTCATGTAGACTCATTTTTTATTAATCCAATACAAAGAATATACAATTTGTATTTTCTGGGACTCTTAGCAGAATACACACAAGAAGTCTCCTGTGTTAAAAATCAAAGCATTCTGAGTTGGGCATAATAGTGCACACATGTAATCCCAGAATTTTGGGAAGCTGAGGCAGAAGGGGAGAAAGTCCAAGTCAAGACCGAGGAATTTAACAAGGCCTGTCTCAAAATAAAGGGCTGAGGATGTAGCTCAATGTGAAGACCCTGGGTTCAATCTCCAGTATGGGGTGGGGTGGCGATGCAAAGCATGCAGTATAGTTATATCTCTGCAACGGAAAGGATGGATTTGTTCCTGCTAAGGTGCCTGGGCAATGACAGTTGTGTCTTCCCGTACATGACACTCAAGGATACAGAGATCTTCACATTTCAGATTAGAAGGCTTGACTAGAATATTCCAAGCCACAACCTAGCAAAAATCTTGTTTTACTGTTAAAACAATATATGTAATTCTGTCACCACCCCTAACTGCTTCAACGTTCCAGCAAAGAAAAATATTATTGGAGAAAATGCAATTAAAAATTTTGAGCCTGGCATGGTGGCTTAGGCCTGTAATACCAGCACTGGGCTGAAAAGGCAGAAGGATCACCATGAGTTTGAGGCCAGCTGGGCTGCAAAGTGAGTGCAAAGCCAGCGTCAACTGAAGAGCAAAATCCTATTTTTGCTACTTCTTAATCTCTTGGCCTCTTCCAGTGTTTATCATCTCTGAAGTAACAGAAAGATAAACACCATCACAATGCCCCTGGGTAGTTATCTCATTTAACCCTCGCAGAAAACAGAGGAGGCAAATATCATTACTTTATATTAAGGTCTATGGTTTAAGGAAGTTATACAACTAGGTAAGATCATAAAGCACATAGTAGAGTCTGGCTTTGAACCTAAACACTGCTCCCAAAGTCCCAACCCACTATGAGATACTTTCCTCAAGGAATAGTAACATAAAATATTAACAGAATTATTCTTAAGTTTCACTGTTTTGTATGTGGATGTGCGTTCTTAACCGACTGTAATGCTTACTAAAGCAAGCATCATTTTCTGTTTAAACTTGCAAAGATTTCAAAAGGGAAGGGACCGAGAGATGGAGGAGGGAAAGAGCATGAAAAAGAATTGAGATGTGTCATACACACGGACCAATTCCCCACGATGAATGTAATCATTATGTACTGCAAATACATACTAGTAAAAAAAATAAACTAGCAAAATTATCCCTAGCTTTTAGGACGACACTAAGACCTCCATGAACACAACCATTCAAATATAAATGAGAACCTCCTGTCTTCTCCAGCTAGATTCCCAGAACTTTCTCAGATGGGACAAATATGCTTAAGGCCAATCTAAAGTAACACGTGTCTATTAGCGACGTCTCGGATGTGAATAAGAGACAAAATTCTTTCCCTGCAACTTTAAAGAGGGTAAAACAATGTATGACTGGTACAAAAGTAGAGTTCAGATAGCACTCTATCGGATTTTTATCAAGGCTTTGTTCCTTTCCTTCAGAAGTCTTCAGAGAGCCCTTTTCAGACGCAGCTTTGAGGGTTCAAACAAAACACTGGGACCATCACTGATCCTAGGCAGACACAGGTGCCCTTACCTGTTCAGCCATGTAGGGTCAAATCTAAAAGTCCTTAAGAGACAAGGGTCTGTCTACAGGGTTTTACTAGGCCTCCTTTCCCACGACACAAGGAGCCGGGGGCGTGGCGAGGGAGTCACTTTCCAAACACCGACCGGTCACACCCGCATGGGGTCAACGCTTTCCCTGAAACGCAACCTGAATGCTCCGTGGGAGAAAAGGGCTTCTCGTCCGTTGCCCGGAGATCCGAAGATCAAAGAAGCCCGGGAAGGCACTCGGCGGCCCGGCCCAGTGCACTCACCGTCATTCTCGTCGCTGTGCCGCCGCCGCGACATACTGCCGACTGGTGCGCGGCCGGG